TTAACGAAAAAATATCCAATCCATACATTGCAAAAGACAACAGAAATCAATTCACAGAGGAAGTGGTTGTGAAGAAAGTGTATGACACACCAGAGACTGAGGATTTCCATGAGTCTAACAAGCTCCTTCAAAAGTTGGATCATTCTAATATTATCAAGTATTTGGATCATGGAAAGTTTGATTCTCCTGAGACTGGAGAATTTTTATACATCGTCACTGAAAAAGGAGATGAAGACTTGGCTAGATACTTAAAAGAAAGACAAACTAATCATGCAAATGACAATTTACAGGAAATGTTAGAGATTTTCGTACAATTGGTAAGAGGAGTGGCGTTCATTCACTCTCAGAATATTTATCACAGAGATATAAAACCAGCCAATGTGGTAGTTAGGAAAAACGATTGGAAAATAATTGACTTTGAGGATTATGCTAAAACCGATACTCAAGATGAATCAATCTCAGCACAAAAGGTCGGGACTGAGTACTATATGGCTCCTCAAATATGTATTCGTGGATGTAAGGATCGTATTTTGGGAAATTCTCTTGATAGTTATAGTTTGGGATGCACCCTTCTTGAAATGATCACAGATTCTTCATCTTTAACATTAAATGGGAATACTCTTGCTTATAATTTAGTTAAAAACGAAGAGAGTGATGTTCATAATCATATCAGAAAAGTTATTGGTGAAAAAGTGGCCATGAGCAAACAATCTTGTGGTGATTTGGTTTGTAATTTAATTCAAAAATCTGCTGCAAAGAGATTGACTGCAAGATGTGTGTTAGTTAGTGTGGATAAGATTTTACAAGAAATTTCAGTAATGAAAAATCCAACAAGAAGCAGAAGGGGGAAATGTATGGTACAATAAATGCTGGTAGAGAATACATCATCCAGAGAGCCACTAAGTCGTACAATCACCTTTTATTGGAATAGAGCAACTTGATGTAGTCGTGGTACAAAACATTCTGGATCCATACACAAAGGCAAAATAGTTCTCTCCTTGATGGGAAGTGAGCTCCATAAAGTTGGGTTGTATTTAAACAAGCTTATTATTAGTCTATTTTACCACTTTCTTCTTCAATTGATTAATCCAGCTCACTAATTATGGATTCTCCACTCAACATAGCATTCATTATGAGATTACCAAAGATCAAAAGGTCTCAAACCATTCATTCACGACTTCCACACAAATCTATGAATTTAGTTTGGAATTATTTGTTCATTGTAATAGGCATTTGACATTTTTCAATAAAACCAATTCCTTGTAAGGAAATGTTTTCCATTGTGGGTCTTTCTTAATTTCTTTCAAATGTGAAGCAAAGGAATATAAAACCACTTTTTGTAATTGTAGAGCTTGGTAGGTTTCTGAAATTTCAAAAATAGTAAACAAGTCAATCGAGCAGTCTTTGAGAGGAGTTTCCAATTCTTCATTTACTATTGAAGCAATGTATAATTCGCATATAGAACTCAATGAACTGATCATATACTTATTCGATAGGGTTAGAAGACTTATTGCATTCTCTTCGGTCATTTCTACCTTTCCAGTACTAATATATTCCACAATTGATTTGAAATGATAATAAAACTTTTCGTCTCCTTCTGAATCATTTGTCAAGTCCACAATACAAGATTCACTCTCTGTAAAATTGCCTTCAAACATAATTTGAAAATATTCACAAGCACACGACAGAAAGTTTCTATTCGATT